AAGTAATAGAGGCACCATAATGAGGTAAATTTACATACTTTTACTTTCTTTAACTTTTCTGGTGGAGAGTTCGTCAAATGTTTTTGTCCATGGAGAGGTTATTGCTTTGTCTGGAATGTTTCACAGTCTGGTATTAAACCTTTCTATCTTCGTGGAGACCAAACTCAACCGGGTTACAGGTCAGATCCGTGGAGAGGCAACCCTGCTCAGTCAGAATGTATGTTTTTCTAGGTATTTTTTGAGCTACAAAACCTATTGTAATTTAATAAATGTCAGTGAATAAATATTTAATGTCCTTCTGTGGAACATAGGCAGAGTAATAACATATTTGAAAACAAGCAGTTTCTATTAAAATCTGAACTTGATTGAAGTTAAATTTTAATGTAAGTATTTTTTTAATAGTATATCTTCAGTCTAGGTCAATACTAGCTGAACAATTACTTTTTGGCATATTCAGAACACAATAAGAATAGTTAGGACCGTTTCAGAGGAAAAATTACGTAATTAAATTTTTATTTCAATCTAGACTCCAAAAAGTACAACTAAATGGAAAGTGTGTTTTGATTTGGTGGTTAAAAAAAAAGGATTGGTGGTTGGTTATGAGTTTATGAGTTTATTTATATAATTTAAAAACTGTCATGTTCTTTCTCATAATAATTGAAACACTAATACTGTGACTTCATACGATCAAGAATATTAATTACACACATTAGTTCTCAAACTCTGCACTCTTTTACGAGTTTACTTTATTTGGCTAAATTCTGATTTGCTCCATAAAACAGAACTTTTCAATACAATAACACTATTTGTCTACTATATTTTTTATAAGGTTTGAATTTTTAATAGCTGAAAAAAAATATTGTGTCTTAAAAGGAGCATGTGGTTTATGGTATGCTACTTATGACTTATTACACGACATTGTAAAGACATTTTCTTTGTATGTTTGATTTTTAGAACTATAGCATCAGCCTGCCCAGGGCCTACAGCTGGTAAGGACTAGTTTTTAGCTTCAACCTGATACAATGGATCTCTCCTGTTAAGGTTAATGTACACTGTGCAGTGTCCCTGTCTCATTAATCCCTAATGGATTCTTACTAGGGATGGGACAAAAACTCTTGCCACAAGATCTCGTGAGGGAATTAAATTACCAAAAGATTGTGCACACATGAGAAAAAATGATCATGTGAGATTTTTCATGGAAATACGGAAAAGTGCCGATGGGACTATAAAGCGAGATGAGGGGGCTTTTTTACTCCCACACACCTAGAATACTGTCCTGAGGAAGTCAGACTGCAGATGGCGCTGTCGTGCTGCCTCCACTGGTAGGAAGACAGCACCAAAACCTGTTTAAATCAGCTGAGGAAGAGCGCTAGTGAACAGTCCAAACTGTCAGGTATGAAAACAAACTCTTGATCTGAAAAAAATTACCTAAAAACATAAATTATCAAAAGACCAATTAAATTTCATTGGACTACTTGTGAGATTATCTTTCCTCATATTTTCACATTTCTTTTGGATAAAAAAAGGTTAATTTTACCGCAGAGTAACTTCAGTTGATGAGATGTAGTTCCAAAAAATGTGTTATAAAAACTATAAAACTAAATACATAAAAAATTATGAAGTGAAACTTGCAAACTAAATGGTAGAAATTATTGACAAGAAATAATTTTAAAATCTCATCTTGTTTTATTCTCTTTGACAAAATCTCTCGTGATAAAAATTGAGTCTTGTCCCATCCCTCGTACTTAAGCAGATGTTTTTTTATGTGATACTTTGCACTTTTGCTCCTCTATTTTTCATACTTCATCCACCACTACTTCCAAAATCAAACTGATACTGACATAAGAAGATGAACCAAAAACTGCACGTTGATTTAAATCTGGACATCATTGTGTGCTGCGTGATCCATCCCAAACGCGTAATCTCCTAATCTCATTTCCACTCTTTTTACAGACAAATTCACGACGCCACCACATGACACAGCAGCGGGGGCTCATGTCTTCTCTGATCTCCGTAGACTCGCGCTACACATCTGAGTAGGCTTTGTAATCTGTGTATTTAGCGGCTAACGTTGTGATCGCTGCCAGATGTGCGTGCTTTGTCTTGGGAGCCGAGTGTGGATGGAGAAAATAAAGTGTGTGGGAGAGACGTGTACACAGTTTGACAGGGGCTTCTCTCAGCGCCTTTCCACACGCCCGGGCTCAGGTCAGTGGCCAAACATAACATCTCATCCGTCTTATCTCGCTGACGGCAGCCATTATCAAACAAAGAGGTTCCGCTCACGACTCCCGCAAAAGTCAAAAATGGATTCCAGAAATGACACAGGACGTGTTTTTTCGATGTGAAATGTAATCGTGATCTAACCCTGTGACCATCTGATTGTTATATCATTCAGCGCGATTCTTTTTAAAGGATCCATATGACGCTGTTTACTGATGTTATAATGTTGTTTCCTCATCACAAACAGACCTGGAGTTGTGTTTTGTTTCATTCACACATGTTTAACACAAACCCTGCATATTTAGGCTGTGTTCTTCTCTCAAGCAGGAAACATTCTGTACCATCGCTAGACTCATTTGGATAATTTCAGCTCTGGAAATGTCAATCTCTAATGAACAAAAGGTAAAAGGAGCTGTTAACTTGAAAACTACATCCCAAGGTGAAACAGAGCATTTTGAGCTTTGGAGATGTAGACAGACTAATAATAAAAGATTATTCAAACATGTGTGGATGAAACAAAACACAACTCCAGGTATGTTTTTGATGATTTTAAAATGTCTAAACACTTGGAAGAGTCAATTTTGCGTAATACAGGACTTTAAACTTTCAAAACATCCTGTCTACTAGTCCGCCTCTCAGCCAGAGTGAATGACAAATTCAGAAGCAAGTTTAGTTAATAAAAACTCTCGAAATCAGTATAAGTGATTCAATTTAAATCATGTTCAAGCCAGTGGTCATCAAAGTAAGGCCCGCGAGCTGACTCTGGCCCGCCACAACCCTTTGACCGGTCCCACAGCCCCTCTGCTCCCCACCACTTCAACTGGCCCTATAAGGCAATCCTCAAAAGTTGTCATGGTGTATTTTTTTTATTACTTTTGGGCAAATAATAACACGTCTGCATCTATTTTTTTCCCATTAAAAAAATGATATTTATATGAAGTATTTATATTTAAATAATAATATGACATATTTACATTTGCCACCAAATTTCCATCACCTGACAAGCTCGAGATCAAACTGTGACAGTCAACACACGTGCAGAGATCTGTAGTGCAGTTAAGGACAACAAAATGTCAGGTGTTAGAGTACGAAAATTTGACAGAAAATGCTGAGTTTTCAAAGAACAGTGGACGAGTGATTATTTTTTTGTTCAGTGTAAGGACCGTGCAGTTTGTCTGATATGTAAAGAAAGTAGGGCAGTTTTCAAAGAATATAACCTGCGTCGTCACTACGAAACCTGCCACAAAGAGTATGCTAGCTTGCGAGGGCAAACGAGAGAAGATTCGGTGGATGAAAGGTGGACTGGCTGATCAACAACATGTATTCCTTCGTTGGCCGACCCGACCCCGGCCCCCATCACAGTCAGGAGCGATAATGTGGCCCCAGAGAAAAAAGTTTGGTGACCACTGTTCTAGGCAATACAAAAAACATTATGAGAGGCAGTGCAGTAGTTCTTAGACTCAACAGGAAGGGCACTGTTAGCATTATACCTCTTCAAAATTCAGCTCTGGCCTCTCAAAGTTGTGAAAAACACATATAAACTCCTCATGGTGAATAATTAGGATGCTTCAAATGCATTAAGATATGAACTAGTTCTGTTTTTCAAGTTTTTTAAAAGCAGGAAAAATCAGGCACAGGGTCTTTAACATTCATCTATGTCGACAGAGGAGTAGACACACACTTGGACTGTAACTCTACCTCAACACTATCTGCAAAGTTTGAGCCACAAAACGACAAAAACACTCATATTTATCTTGTACAAACATCATGACAGCTGCGTACACTTGACAAATCTACTTTCACTGAAACACATTGACACAGACATCGTTTCAAACACTTTCACACACCACGACACAAGCACGAGACCCAAAGCAAGCATCGACAAAGCCAAAGCAAGCAGAGCAAGCCATAAGCATTTGAGAGCCTCCAATGGGGAGCGAGGCATCCAGCATTCAGGGTGTGGGAGCTGACTGAAGATCAGGGCCAGAGTCGAGTCAAGCAGTGATGGTGCGATGGCCGAGCAGACACGGGGAGAACACCACTTTTTCATGAAAGCGAGGTCTATGAAAAAGTCTGCAGATCACTGGGGCACATGCTAGGAGCGCAGCTAACAGTGGAAATCAAAGAAAGCTTAAATCGAGCAAAACAAAAGCATGCCAAAAGAAACAAAGCAAAATGTCCTGCAATGGTCATTGAGATTGATGACGTTAAAGATCACCAATAATAATGGTCTTGCAGATGAAACAATAGGACTATTAATTTGTTTATATGTGGAGAGTAGATCATTCATGACAGTTTTTTGCTTTTTCTGTTGAATTTTAAGAGAAATGTGGTCATGAAAGCTCTAATTTCCAATAAAAGTGCATCATAGGGTGTTAAAAGCAATGAAATTCAACACAAATGTATGGGAAAAGCAGAGGATGAGGAGAGAGAGATGGACAAAGGATGAGAGCAGACATGGGCATGTGGTCCTAATGGCCAAGGTCTCCAGTCACGCAGTGTGACTTAAAGAGTTCCAGCTCTTTACTGTTCTGTTGAATTAGACCCCTCTATGGGGTGCAGAGTCACACAACCACACCTTGACTGGATTACACTTACTTTCTGCCTCGTGTCGAGTTATAACTCCCTCCGTATTTCTTCCGATTAAGGATGAGAGCAGCAATTTCTGGCACGTAGCGAGCAAACATGGCCTACATGCATGGAATAGAAAGAAAGAAAAAGGCATGCAGAGAGGGTTCTACTGCACACATAAAAACAGCAGAACCGTCTGGAATACTTACTTTCTCCCATTAACCGCACTATAGGAACCACCATATTTCTTGCGGTTTCCTATTAACTCTATGATTTCAGGGACGTAGCTGGCAAACATGGCCTAAGGAGAAGATAGGAGACAGAAGAAGAGACTAGTACGCTGCACAGCGGCGGGTTTCTAGAAGAGCCACTTTGCTTTGTTAGTATGCGAGTCAGGAGACAGCCATACGGAAAGCAAAGAGAGCGCTGTGTTCAATTTGTTAAGCCCCAGTGTTAAGTGACATTCTTAACATCTCCAATCTGCAGCTGCACCTGAGATCTTAGTCCATTTATACTCCAATAGTAATCAAACCTAAGTGCCATGTTTTGTCCAACAAACACAGAGACTGGAGCAGGTGGATTTGAATAGGCCTACCTGATGTTCCACAGCTGCAAAACACATTAAGACTCATTTGCTGGGCTTGGAAAATGAGCTGGATGCATTTTGCACAGACGCAGAGCCTGTGATCCCACCATGCTTCTAATGACCTATGAGCGAAGGAATGGCATCTCATAATCTGCACTGACAGTACTGTTAGCTTACAGTGCTTCTCCACACTTACAGTAGAGCCATACATCTCCGCTCTCATAAAAGCACACTTGAGTCATGCTTGGTAACAGTGCCTATGCATCTCCAGCAGTAATGTTAAATGACGTGACTTTGATTTGATCCCTGGCTGTAGAATCCCTCCAGCCCGGAGTCATTATTCAAGCGCTGCTGCTGATAGGAAGCAGCCAGGGAGAGGCCTAAAGACTTCCAGAGCTCTCAGCGCGCAGGAAGCACGCCATCTATCACTATGGCAACCGCACGGGACACGTCCACACAGCTGGAGGTCATCACAGAGGAGAAGTTTAGTCTTAAGAGAACATTTGAGTTCAGACAGTAACATGGTAAACGCAGTGTACAAATGAAAATCTTATTGGGGGCTATAAGTTGAAACTGAGATGGAGGGCGAGCCAAAAGTCAGTGTTTGAACGTGTAAGAATCTTAATGTTTTGACTTTGTTTCTAAATATGCCGTGTGAGAGGCTTTTAGTGGATGTTTCCGCAAAAGGCAGCTCCATCCGTTTCAGTCAGCACCAGAGCGGCCCAGTGTAATATCTTTGTAATTATTCAGTCTATTCTCATGAAACTAATCTAAGCACAGAGCCATCACCCTCTCCTTATGAACTTAATAAATAAACTTGGGTAGTGGCATTATTAAGACAGCTATGGTCATACAATAAACTCACTAACAAGTAGGGATGCACCGGTCCTGTCTTCAATTTATCGAAATCCGATACCAGAGCAGAGATTGAAAACAGTATTTACTTTCTAAAAACTAAACTAAAATAAGACAAAACAGATCCAAATGTGTTATGTAGTGGTTGTTTATCTCTCAAGTCACTACAGAACAGCTTTGTGTAATTGTATTTTTTTTTTCTTGGCCAACTACGACCAGTAAATCAGTCTTATTGCATCAATTAAATGTCCGACTAGGATATCAGTTGCACCGATTTTACAAAGCTGATATCTGATCCTGCAATTTTTTGAGTCTGCGGATCAGTGCATCCCTGCTAACAAGACTAAAATAATGCATAATTGTAGATTTATTTTAACTGTTTACTGTTTCAAAGGTAAACATTTCGACATGGTTTATGAATTCGACACAATTGGACTGCCAAGACCACTCCTGTATGAATGTAATTATCTTTAAAAATGGTGCGTCGTCAACATTCATAACATTATACCCTCCATCTCATTTCAACATTGTATAATTTGAACATAACTTATCTATGGATGGAAAGAAAGTGAAAAGCTGCTGGGGAGGCTGCTGTCGCTATGGTAACAGTCAGGTGGGCCTAAGCATCATCTGCCTGCTCCTGTGTTTGTTGGAAAAGTGGGAGGAGACACGGGAGAAGGGAGGTCCTGAAACCGCAACTGCTTCTACAAAATAGTAACCACATTTTAACACAGTAGCGAATTCATGTATTCAGACATGTAGAAGGTCGACACAATAGGGAGTAAGAGACAAGGCCAAAAGTTACAGACGAGATACACTAGGTTCATTATAAACTGAGCTAGGTTTAAATTTCAGAAAACAGACATAAATATAACCATGTTAATTACACAGCATTTAAATGACATTACTTTTATGTTTAAATCACTTAGCATATTAGGCTTATTTAAGTGTACAGGTGGGGTCAGGCAGGGTTTGGAGAGGGGACCAGAGGGAAAGGGAACTATTAAAAAGAAAAGTGTTTTTTACCAAACCGCCCAGGATGAAGAAGACCATGAAGAGGCGTCCCAGGGTGGTTTTTGCATAGACATCCCCGTAGCCCACAGTGGACATGGTCACCATCAGCAGGTACACACATTCCCAATAGGAAAGAGACTGGGAATTTTGGAAATTTTCCCAAGGATCCCCTGAGTTTTCCACCTATAACAGTAATAGGAATGATTAGTTAATACTGTAAATAAAGTTTCATAACAGTGTCATAGGCCAAGAAAATGTTAAATGTGTTAGGCAGAGGATGTTTCCTCTGTATAAAGGTCAAAGACTGCCACCTAGTGGTGAATAAGTGTCATATGTATTAAGTGCTTGCAAATAATTATCATCACAAGGTTAGTCCAGGGTGACCAGGCGTCCCTAGTTCCCCAGGACCTGAGCCCTGTGTCCCCTGCCCTAGCAGATTTACCCAAAACCATTGATTAGTCCCAGTTTTACACAAGAAATGTCCCAGGTCCCTATTTAGGACCAATCTGATCCTAAGCCAGCAGTAAAGAGAGGCATGTATTGTGGTTTGTTGAACTAAAATACAGAAAACTGTGCTTCAAAATGACCACAAGGCAAAAAAATAATAAAAAAAATGCACCAACAGAAGTCCCTCAGATTATGACTGACTGACAAGTGAGTCGAGAAAGGACAGTTTTGAAATTGTGAAAATCTGGTCACCCCAGGTTAGTCTGGATAAAACAACGTCAAATAACACGATGATACCACACTTAACCTATGTTTTACATAATCACACTATGTTTTAAATAATCACACTATGTTTTAAATAATCACACCTGACACAAAACTGTTCAGAGTGGCCTAGAAAAGCTCTGGGGTAAATATATTTAATTTAAAACCCTAAAATGACATTTGCATTCAGCTATCTTAGCCTAGCCTATTTTTGTCGAGACACAGATACGACTCTAATGAAAAAGGCAATTAAATGATATGGTCACCTCACCTACATGAAGTATAATACAGTTTTACAGTCTACTCCTCTAAGGCTCCAGTGATGTTGCGAATGTCATTTGTAAAAAATGGAAAGTAATGAAAAAGTGCTTTTTAGTGAACCAGGTCATACAGTGCAGTACTGTTGAGTCACAGTGCAGTACATACAGTCACAGTAGAGTCACACTGCAGTACTGTAGAGTCACAGTGCAGTACTGTAGAGTCACAGTGCAGTACAGTACAGTCACAGTGCAGTACTGTAGAGTCACAGTGCAGTACTGTAGAGTCACAGTGCAGTACAGTAGAGTCACAGTGCAGTACAGTACAGTCACAGTGCAGTACTGTAGAGTCACAGTGCAGTACAGTAGAGCTCATTAGCCTGGTTAATTGTTAAACCTTCGTCTAATGTCTGAGGCTGGGGTTAGGCCGTTAGGTCGTCTATGGTCGTTAGCCTTTTAATTCTGTGGATGTTTTTTATTTAGAGAAAAATAAAGGAAAAAGCATGATTGGTGCGCAAAGGAGAAAATTTAAAGGACATGATTTTTTTTCATAACATTTCTGAAAGAAAAAAATAGCAGTTCATTATATAGACTAGTCCAGACACCTTTTATTTTTATTACACCACCTGACAAAAAGTTTCTGCTCAATTTGATCACCTTTTAGTCCAGGTTAAACCCAAACAGAGGTCTTATAATCCAAGATCAGCACTCACCAAGTGGATGAAGCCAGCCGCTGTGAGCCATGTGCTTATGAAGATGGAACACAGGTTCACCAGCTTGATGGAATTGCTAGACAAGAAAGGCACAATTCATATGATTTACAATTTACTATCAAAAGTTTGTAATAAATAAGGGATAGGCCCAAAATTTAGAAGTGTAAGTGACACAGATAATGAGGCTTAGAACAATAATAATTCCCTTAGAATAAATAAAAGAGAGATAAATAGATAAATTCTATTCCTAGTTAAGTTAAGTTAAGTTAAATGATACAGGTCTGTAAGCTATCATACTGAAAAGAAGGCATCATTACATCTATAGTGTTAGAAAATACGCCTATAATGTTTTAAATTAAATTTGCAACTAGAATTGACCAAACAAATCTAAACTGGGCAGGAGAAATTCTTAAAATAAAAAATTGAAAATATTGCATTTGTGGACTTAAACAGAAACTTTATTTTACTTACCTCGTTTTCAAGATATTCAAAAACTGTAAGATTTCGGAGAACTGTATCAACCGTAGCGCTCTCAGAAACCTCAAACCTATGAGAAACACACAGAGAAACAAAAGATAGAATTAGCCATTAATGAATCTATATTACACAAAAGTGACTCTGGTGAGCTTTATGACATTTTATATGATGATGTTACTAGGGCTGGGTATCATTAAGAAGTCGCCGATGCATACCTCAACACATGGGCCAAGGTACGATACATATCTCGATACAGCGCACTTTCGGTTCAATATGATTCAATATGTTATATTTCAAATCAATTTAATACAGTTCAATAAAAAATAAAGGCAAAATCATGGTTGTGATAATAAAAGTCTTTGTTAAACCATTTCATGTGCAAAGTGAATATGACACAAACTAATTTTTATCATCAAAACTTTGAAAATATGAAATGTGTTGCATAAACAATTTTCCTTCCTCTAAATCAGAGATGTCAAACTTAGGCCCGGGGGCCAAATTTGGCCTGCGATATAATTATATTTGGCTCGCGTGATCATATCAAGTATGTATTAGAGCGGGCCCGACCGGCTACAAATAAGCTATAAAGACATTATTTATTTAATATTTTGTTATTATTTTATATTATGCTTGTTCTGGATTCAGTGTTTAAGCATGTTAAACTATTATTAAACATTTATTTTAATAAGAAACGTTTGAACATTACATATCTCAAAAGAAGAGAAAACATGCAGATGTTGTTGACATTTTTTCAATAAATATTTTGTTTGGCACAACTTCGTTACAGTTTTTAATTTTGGCCCTCTGTGAATTTGAGTTTGAGTTTGTTCTAAACTGTAGTGCTGTAACAAAATAATTTTGTAAAATAAACCCAAAAATATCAATACAGTAGCCCACTATATCAATACTGTATCATCACATTAAACGGTATGATATACTGATATTTCAATATTTTTGCACACCCCTAGTTGTTACTTTTTGTTGGTGTTTTGCTTCATTCACATATGTTTGAGTAATCCTTTATTATTAGTCTGTCTCCAAAGCTCAGAATGCTCTATTCCACCTTGTGATGTCATGTAGTTGTAGTTTTTAGTTAACAGCTATGCTATACCTTTTACTCAGTACAGATTGGCAATTCCAGAGCTGAAATCATCCAAATGATTCTAATGAAGGTGTGCGGAGTTTAAAAACACATTGGAGCACTTCCTGTATGACATCACAGGGGTTCCCATTTGAGAGAAAAACTCCTAAATATGCAGGGTTTGTGTCTTAAACAAGTGTGAATGAAACAAAACACAACTCCAGGTCTGTTTGTGATCAGAGATTAGCGTAATACTATGTGCCCTTTAAACAATTACACAAGCGTCACTTTCAGACGCAGTTCTTTCATGAGGCCACTATTTGGAGGGCATATTTAGACATTCCATTAGTACGAGAAGTGAAGCGCGCCCTACTTTTTGCTGGTGGCTGGCTGCGCTGAGGGATTATCAAACAAAGCAACACCTGCCTCATGTCTTTTTACATAACAGTGCTGATCCCGGGGTGCATGTGTTATCCCATGTCTCTTTGCATGTGTGGAGCATAACACGGATTCTTTTCACTCCAACTATAGAAAGCACCAAACTAATCCAACCAGGTTCATTTTGTTATTCGATTTATTTTATTACATTATTTTTTCGCTAGATAGCAGTCGAAATTGTCAGGTATGAAAACAGACTGAACCTTGGTCTGAAGAAAGAATGTCATAAAGTAAATGCACAAAAATAGTATAAATATAGGTCATTCTAAGTAAGGCAAGTTCATTTATTTACTTATGCATTATTAGTATACTTTTACTTTTGTGGGGTATTAACTGATAACACAACATATTTAGATCACCATGTTACCCTTTATTGTTTTGAAAATGCCATATTCAGCAAAAAAAGTAGTAGTAGTATTAACATTTTTGTAAGACTCCTCTCTCTTTGCTCTCCATGCCAAGTCACATCCCCTTCAGAGCACTATCACAATACAATCCACTAATGAAACTACTGAACATCGCATCAAGTTTAAAGTTGTTTTGCAATAGTGCAAGAGATACTACTCAGCAAAATAAGAGTAATCAGCAAACATAAAGGGGCACTATAAGGGTTTGTGACCTGCTTCTCTCCATGGATATATTGTTGCTATGATAAAAATATTCAGTATGGCATTTAACTTATTGATCTCCATTCACATAAGAAGATGACACCACCAGGCAAAGTTATGTCAACTCAGATCTGTTTATATCAGGGGTGGGCATTTACTTTTTCCATGGGGCCACATGAGAAACAGAAAATACTGTGGAGGGCTGGGCCAAAATGCTTACCTCAATTCTGCAAAATATGAATTGTATTTCTTTATAAAAAATAGTAAATAGTATTGTTTTGACGAGCTGGTAAGACTGGTAAGAGTTCATGTTATGAGTGCGGCTGCCTTACAAAAAATGTCATTAAACAAGAGCAATCAGAGATAGCAACCTGGTCCCCCATGAGGCATCAGTGGGGGCAGTTCATCACCCTGGAGCCCAAACCCCGGTTATGTGTGTGCCAACTTGTGTGATGATTGGGTGAATATTTCAGCCTGCAGATGGTTCAGATGGTTGTCTATCCTTTATAATGGCGTGACCTTTCAATTGACTCGTGTGACCTCAAATAACCTCAGATCGTCACCAAACTTTTTTTTTTGCAGCATCGGGCACGGGGGCTTGACCCACGTACCAAATTTGGTGACAATCGGTCCATACATGGTGGAATTATCGCAGGTAGACAGACACACACAGGGTGAATACAAAACCAGGTAAAAAGAAACATCTCTAAAATAAAAGCAATGTGGCTTTAGTCCATGCTTGAGTTAAAATTATAAAATATATTTATTGTGTAAATCTGAATTATCTTAAAACAGGCCAATCAGAGTCAACCAAAGGGCTGTATGTGGCCCGGGAGCAGCACAATGCCAAGGTCTGGTATAGAGGCAACCCCACCCACTGTAAAAAATGCATGTTTTTCAAAGTATTTTCACTATAAAAGACTGTACTTAAGATAAGGTGACTTTAATGCTATATGGTGGTACATTTTTAGCAAAGTAATATCATATCCACACAAGACTACTCAAAAAACTGTAACTGAAGATACCAAACACATCTCCAGATACAGTATGTTTTGGATAAGGAAATAACCATTAAAACTCAAATTGCTTTAACACAGGCTTTTGAGCATTGATAGCCACAAATATGAAAATACATTACCCCAGTTGGTAAGAACACGCATGCAGGATATTAGCGAGGCACATGAGCGTGCTTGTCTTTGCCGTTTTTGCCTAATTCGGTAGCCATTTTGGAAAAGGTCAGAGCAGGACTTCTTCCTCCTCCAAGATTCTTTGGGAGATTCCAGGTTGACTCCGGTTTGCGTCCGGTGGTAAATGAGTAACCTGGGAGGAATCATTTTGGCTATCTGCTATTCCCACAAAAAAATTTAAATGATTTGATAAAAAATGATTTTAAAAAATGTACTCAAAAATCTATGATAATTTTCTTGTCATTTCTCTTGTAGTCTGCTGCGTTGTCACTTTCCTCCTGAATGTGTCTAAGCAAAATGTCTACTCTAAAATACACTCAATTGCAGCAGCTCTAATCCGAACAGTCCAAACCGGTTTACCTTGCTGTCCCCGGTCAGTTCTTTTCTATGAGCCTTTTCGCTCCAACACACAACAGCAAAACTAGTAGAGGGATTATGCTGTGATGAAAAATTGAAATGAAACTAAAGCCAGAAAAATAATCCGCTCACAAAATGAAGTATGCTGTGTGTAGTGGCGGATGTCCAACAAGTCAAACACACTGTTAAACTGGCAGAGGTCACACCAAAATTCTGAAAATATAAGCTCTGATACCGAAAATGGTACCAAGGCTAAAGGGCCTATATTATGCAAAATTGACTCTTGTGAGGTTTAAGACATGTTATAATGTTCTTACCTCCTCAAAAACATGGCCAGAGTTGTATGTTGCTTCATTCACATGTTTGAGTAACCCTTTATTATTAGTCTGTCTACATCTCCAAAGCTCAAAATGCTCCATACCACCTTGTGATGTCATGTAGGGGTAGTTTTCAAATTAACAGCTACCTTTTTATCTTTAGTTCAGTAGAGGGGGGCAACTCCAGGGCTAAAATTATCAAAAATGATTCTACTGTAGGTGTATGGAGTTTAAAAGTACAGTGGAACACTTCCTGTATTACCACATGACATCATAAAGTGGAACAGAGTGTTTTCTGTTTCTATCTGTCAGAGTTTGTGTGTTAAACATGTGTAAATGAAATAAAACAAAACTCCAGATATGTTTGTGATGAGGAAAAAACATTATAACATCTAAGAAAATAGCACAATATGGACCCTTTAAGGTAAGGTACATTACTAACTTTCCGGTGCATTTGACCCATGTCCATGCCCAGAGGAAAGGACACAGTGAGACACAACTCCACACAGAAAGGTTTGACAGAACTGTGCCAGTTCAAAGTGCGATTTCACATCTTCTAGTTGCAGTGCAGTTGCTTATGTCTTACTTAACTGTTGTTGCTCCCATGGCCTTTGTGACTCTTGTTTACAGAGACTGGAGCAACCTTAAACTTTACTACAGGTCCCATAAAACACCACTCTGCTCTCCGCTACTACACAAAGTAAAAGTAGAAAACCAAGCACTCAAATCTGGCAATTAAAATGCAATTAGACAACATTCATTTTGGACAGTACATTTGTATGTGAATAAATATATTGCAGAAACTAGAGATGTAACAATAACCGAAATATTGTGATATCATATTGTCAAAGTTCTCACAATAATATCATGGACCATCACAATATATTGAATTACAAGTCTCTTTGCTTAAATTAAGAGTTATGGTGCAGTAGTAGCTAAAAAAAATACAGAGAGAACTACATAGACCATGATCCTTTGCTCCATTTCAGTGTAGACTACATGAAGAAATAACAGTTCTAAGCACTTTTAAGTCTTAATTCTTTGGATTAAGTCTTGTCAAGGCATTTTAAGAAGTAAAAGTA